AGCTGGTCGTCACCCGAAAAGTTCGTGAACAGAAGCGTTCGTAACCCGAGGTTCCACTGTATGTCTAATGCCCATACTGCAGTTAGGCACTCTTTTTCACAATCATTGTACCCTTAAGTTATGTTGTTAATTTTCCTATTTCATTGTTTGGTATTTTTGCACTGCACCCAAAGTATCCATAGTTCTGATATTAAAAGTTTGAATTGAATCAGAGGGCCTTTACCTATTTTTTATTCTTTTTCAATGTTTTTTTCCAACATTGCTTCATTGCTTGAAAGAAAAATGAAATATTTTTGGTGGTTTGGGGATGAATGTGAAAAGAAATTAAACCCTCCTAATAATCTTTCCCACCCATTCTGTTGTTGTTTCTTCTGGCAGGAGGAAGGAGTAGGAAGTGTGTAGAGTCCTCACCAGACTTTCAGGAATTCTTTTCCTTCTCATTTCTCTCTGTACAAACCATATGTTTCCTCTTTGGCCCTCTGCCCATAGTAACCCAATAAAGTATCTTTCTTCTAGCAATTCCTGCTTCCATGAAGTGTCATTTTGTCCACTGGAAGTGTGGGGGGAGGAGAGGGAGAAACACTGGCTATGCAGATCACTTTGCATGTTTATCAATTGCCCCATAACAAAGCCCTTTCTCTCCCCAGACTCCCTTGAATTATCTTCTGCTCTGCAAATTTCACTCCCTGCAAGTCTGTGTGCTAGCTATAAACAAATACTCTGCATTTGCCCCTGGAGTCTTTGGGTGTAAGCACCTCTTTTTTCCCAATCCATGGGCTCAGGAAAGTATGTCCTCATGGCTGCTACTGTCAAAACAAATATACAATAGTTTTATCTACTTCTGTTGTTGATTCAGCACTTGTCAGTGCCTCCAACAACTTATAAAACTCTACATTATCATTCAGTATATTTGAAATATTTGATAATTGTATGTTGTTAATAGCACTCTTGGTTTTATTCAGGTTCAGAGGACGTTTTTCTCCAGTCTCTTCCTCAGAAATTTCTCCTCCAAGAAAAAAACAGTGACTATTTTATCCCAACTAGATGGATCTCTTCCAAGGCTATTCACAGTAACCATTTCACAAGTGGTATCATCAGTTGCCTCTTCTTTTTAATTTGGCTTTTCTTCTGTTTTAGTTTCACTAGCCATACAGTGGTAGATAGCATATTTTATTTTGCCAAACTGTTGTGGTGCTGGGCAACAGTCAGGGTTTATTGCTACAGACTGGTTTACTATCTGGCTGCAATTAACTCATCTTGCAACTTTCCTACTTTCCATAGAGTTGCCTCAAACTACTCATACATATTACCAAGTGAAAAGCACTGTGTTTGATAATATTCCAGTCCACAAAAAACTTCTAGCCCTTTTTAATAGTTTGCAGACTTGGCTTATCTTCCACAGTAGATTAATACATTGAAAGTAAGGTAGTCTTCACTTAGTGACTGCCTCATTCAGTGACCATTTGAAGTTACAGTGGTGCTGAAAAATAACTTTACAACCAATGCCTACATTTATGACCTTCGCAGTGTCCTTCAGTCACATGATTGCCATTACAGTACAGTCAGTACTCATTGTCTTGTACCTGACCTATTGTTTTTCTTCCGCCCCACCCTTGCAGAGAGATTGGAGAAGAAGGAATTACAAAAGATTACAAGAGAGTAAACAGGCACACAATGGTGGATACACATTGAAAAGAGTGCAGTGGCAGCAGCACCCGAGTGTGCTTCATGTATTCCCCATTGTGTGCCTGCTTACTCCTTTCCTCTCCAATGAACGTAATACAAACATTAATTCCCTTCTTGCTAATTATCCCAGTGCCAGGGTGAGCATTCCAAAGTGCAGGGGAGTGGGGAAAAGGAAAGCACAGTCACGGTTGCTTAACAACAGAGCTGCTGGCCCCAGTTGTGGTCGCTAAATGAGGGCTTATATGCACAACTAGATTACCTCCAGACTCCTCTCTTTCTACTAAATAGAAAAATCTTTTGGCATTTGAAACAAGATAGAAAAGCTGGGAATCAAGGCTGGGAAGTGCAGCCTCAGAAATTACTTGACTGGAATCCTTAGGGAATATCTGGGGGAGGGATCTAAAAATAACTGAGACAAAGGAAAATGTATTTCAGGCATCAGTTATATCAGGAAAGATCAATAAAAAGATCCAGCCATTTGAGAACATGTATAGCCATGTAAGCTTTACGCTCCCTGGTATCTCTTCTTCCTAAGATGAATTGCAAATGCTCAATAAATGTTGTGTTTTTGTGGAACTTGTATGCCTTTATATCAGAGTTGCTACCTTATTATTAGCAGATCTATCATTATGTGTTTGTCAACAGTATTAAAATGTCCTTTATAGTGTTCTATGGGTCCTTTTCAGGTGGTATCTGTGTTTGGATCAGCTCTGCATTTTATCTCCTCTGCCACTGAATATTTTTAGCTATGACTACTTAAAGCTAAAAAGCTTTTTTTCCCCTCTTTTCCTTTTTTATCCAGTAAAGTTATTTCATTTATTGCAGATGGGATTAATCTATCTCCAAAGGAGGAATTGGACTGACTTTCATAGTCGTATGTCTTAAAGTTATAAGAGCCAGAAAATTTTTATCTTTGTTGTACGCCACCCAGAATTGCCTGTGGTGAGATGGGCAGCTATATAAATTGGTTTAATAAAATAAATAATAAATAATAAAATGGCACTGTGTAATTTATTTCATTTTTATCATCTTTTTGAACTAAGTCCATAAGCTGCAGGGATTCTGTCTCTCTCACATATCAGGTTTAAAGGAGATGATACCAGGTAAAGACGTCCCCCTGGAAGATAGGTGGTGGCAGCAGCAATTATACCCAAATCCAGATGAAAGGATTGGGAGAGGATGGAGATACTCCATTTTTCACCCAATAAGCTCAGCCCTGCCACTTTACTAGTAATGTCATCCATTGTAATGTCCTACTTTCTCAGTTAGAGACTGGCAATCATGTACCACCTTTCCCATTGTAAAGTATACATTCTAGTAGTGCTCTTTTGTGTGTGTTTGTGCACTGGCTTTGACTCTTGACTTCTGGTGACTGCCTGGAAAATTCTTTAAAGTTTTCTTGGCAACATTTTCAAAAGTGGTTTGCCCTTCGCTTCTTCTTCCTAGGGTTGAGAGAGTGTGACTTGCCCAAAGTTGCCCAGCTGGCTTTGTGCCTAAGGTGGGACTAGAACTCAGAGTCTCCTGGTTTCTAGCCTGGTGCCTTAACCATAGACCAAACTGGCTCTCAAAGTGCCCTTTACTGATAAAATATGTATTTGTCTTTTCTCAGACTTTTTGGAAGAGTGCCTAGTTTGTGCAGAGGTTTTCCCAGCCTCTATTAACCATGAACATTCTCACTCTTTGCTTTGTTTTAGTGCCTAGTCTTTGATCCTGCTATCAATTATGTCACATTGGCTAGTGTAGGTAGGTAGGTAGGTAGGTAGATAGGTAGATATCCAGAGATTCAGGCACATAGAAACAAATGCAGATTTACAACTTTTGTGGTTCACTTTCTGAACTAAAACACCACTGATACCTTCACCTTCCCATGCATATCTTTCTTTGTGGGGCTAGGTTTGAATTCTAGAAAATCAAACAGCGAATACCCATGTATATTATGACTTCCAAGAACTACGGTTCCCGACATTTTTATAACTTCCAGCAAGACTTGACCAATTCATTGAAGTTTAGCTAGCCCCACCTTGGGACCTTTCTGATATCTCCTGGTATTTTTTTTATCAAAGGAAAATTCATATACAGTAGGAACCATTTGCTGTTTTGAGAACTTCTTGTGTCTTCTTTGAGCTCATCACACTGTTATATACTGGCATTAATGAATTCTGTATCAGTATATTAATATCGATATACATGTTGTGGAGAAAAATAGGAGGCAGGAGTATTAGGTATGTTCACCACCTTGATTTGACCAAAATATTTATATATATTAAAGGCAGGATAAAAATATATTAGTGATGATGATGATGATGATGATGATGATGATTGATTAACATACTCTAACCCTGATGTGCTAGGCGTGTTTATTACATGAGAAGGCTCTTAGTTGCAATAAAGCTGCTTTGCTGATTTGTAAATTTTATGAGTGTGCTACTGCACTGTAAAGAATACTGTCTGTAGCCTCCAAATTGCATTGGACAGTCAGTATTGTTGACATTAGTGTTGCTTTAATAAGTCAGTTTCAGTATCCTTTGACTATTGATTCATTTCATCCCAAACTATTCTGGATGATATAAATAGCCTTCCAAAGTAGAAGAGAACCAGCTTACATTCCCTCTTTAGTGTAAAAAGATTAAATAGATATAATAAAATGACTGTGCAAAATAATAGCAACAAAGTTACTAAGAAAGGAAGAACAAAATATCTAACACAACCTTAATGTTGCATTCTTACAACAGTGATTGTGAACAACATAATGGGATTATTACCTCTGCCTACAGACACCTATTAACCAGAGGCTAGGCATTGCTTTGGATTTGCTTTGAAACTTGTGGGAACATGAATGCAGCAGATATTTGTAACTTAGTAAAGTGACAATGGGTTTTTTTCCAGGATTGCATAGCTGTGGTGGGGAAACTTCTGTAGCAGCCATACAGCCCTAGAAAGAGATTCAAATGCACAGAGAACATACATGATCCTGTATGTTCCAAAACACTTTAACTGGATTGAATCCAAAATATTTATTTATTTATTTGTTTTTATTTATTTATATATCAAATTTTTCACCGCCCATCTTGTTAAAAAATAACTCTGGGTGGTTTACAAAGCAGTTAAAATCAATTAAAATTACAATATAAAATAATCCTAAATAAATAGAAAATAAATATAATCCAAGGATAGATGTTAAAATTGGCAGTAACTTGCAGAGCATCATCAAGGCACCAGCCACCCCTAGGATTGGGTAAAATTCTTCTCACCCCACGAAAGCTAGCAGAGCCAGGTGTTTAATCCTTTCTGGAAAGCTGGGAGGGCCTGCTGCACCTCTGGGGGGAGAATATTCCGAAGGGCGGGGGCAACAGCAGAGAAGGCTCTCCTCCTGGGCCCCGCCAGTTGACATTCTCTCACTGACGGGACCCGCAACATGCTCTCTCTGCCTGACCGGGTGGGACAGGTTGATGTGACGTGGGTAAGACGGTCCCTCAGATAACCTGGACCCATGCTATGTAGGGCTTTAAAGGTAATAACCAACACTTCGAATTGGACCCAGAAGCAGACTGGGACCCAATGCAGCCCATGTAGTAACGGTGTTATATGCGCCTTTCTTGGGGCACCCAAGATTGTTCTTGCACTATTCTACTAGATGTAATAAATTCTTGCCTGCACATTTCTAATTTGTTATCTCTAGCAGTGTTTCTGGGCTGCTGGGAGCATGTTGTTCCACCACAGCTTTTTAATTTTCTAATTGACTCATCTGGTGTTGTTTTGCTTAACACACTGGTGTTAGCTGGTAGTATATTTCCAGTTTAGGCATAATTTGAATATGCATTTCTTGTGTCTGAGGCGTTTTTGTTGTTCTTCTTGCCTGTTTGTCAGGATAGAAAGTGCTTGAATCAAAGAGGCCTTACTTGATTATGCAGAATAGTGTCCTTTGGTTTTCTGATCCTTCTTGTGTGTTTCCTTTTCAGGTAGAGCCCAATGCTACCATAGCCGAAATCAAGACTCTCTTTACTAAGTCTCGTATGTATAGAAAAACATCATCTTTGTTGTTTATCATATCTCTTTGTGATGGATTTCAGTACTGAAAGTGCAGAAAGCCTTGCTTTATTAATAAAATTAGCTATTGAAAACCTTTGTTATGTCACTTAAATAGTACATCTTTGAAAATACAACGACCTTATTTTTCTTTGATTAGAATCATTGTTCAAAGATCAGTGGCTTCAGCTTATTAATTTTCCTTCCCCCCCCCCCTTTATGGACTTAAGAAAGTAGAAAAATTGTCCAGATTAAGCTTTTCCCCCCTATGCTGGCTTGTTTCTTGACCAGTTACTTTTACTTGCTGTAGAATGTAAAGGAATCTGAAGCAGATGAGAGGATCTAAAATTTGAATGTGGTTTCATCAATTTTCTAGTCCCTCCAGATGTGTTGGGCTTCAACTGTCATATGGCCATGCAGGTTATCTGTCTAAACTTGTATAAAACATTTAAAGAAATAATAACAGCTATAGTTTTAGTCAGATACCCAACTACTTCTAAATAAGTCCTATTAGTCATGTGGGGACCTTTATATAGATTGTACTATAACACACTATTTGGAAATTTTACTCATTGATCCAGAATGAGAAATTTTTCACTAGTTTTTTTATTTCTCTTTCCCATGAAAACTCTGGAGCAAAGAATTTTTTGTCAGCCTTCACATCTCAAGATTGCTCTTGAATGCTGCCAGCGGATGGTGCTAATGGTTTAGCTGTATTCTGACTCATTACAAGATAACTTTATTTTTCTTTTCTTAGACCCTCAGTGGTATCCAGCCCGGCAGTCCCTGCGACTAGATCCCAGTAAGTTGATGTATTATAAAATATCCTAATACTTGACTTCCTCTCCTTCAGGATAACATTTTTTGGTAAGAAGATAAGGAATAGAACAAAACATAGGCTAGTACCTTACTTGAATGAGATTGTATTAGAGAATACAATCAGTATGAACGTTTTGTGCCTTGGGAATTCACAGGAAGGGCCTCTTTGAAAGGTTCTTTGCCCACAAAGTGGTCATTGCTAATAGTTTGATTTTATGAATAAGGTGAGAAGATAACTAAGCATCCTTCATCTTGGAGGTTACCATGCAGATGTTTCCTTCAGGATGTCAGGCTAACAATTTCTTCTCTGTTGTGTAACCAAACAAGCAACTGTGACATTTGATGTTCTGTCAAGGTCCTGAGTCTCCCAGAGTTTCAGTGTGACTTCTCTTTCTTCTAGAAGGAAAGTCTTTGAAAGATGAAGATATCCTTCAGAATTTGCCGGTTGGTACAACAGCAACACTATATTTCCGGGACTTAGGAGCACAAATCAGCTGGGTGACTGTGAGTGTATTTCATTTCTCCTCAGGAAAATGTTCCCTTGTGAAATCCTTTTGCCCTTCCTCATTCTGATTTTGTTCTGTCAGGTATTCCTCACAGAGTATGCTGGGCCTCTGCTCATCTACCTGCTCTTTTATTTCCGGGTTCCCTTCATTTATGGCCCAAGATATGACTTCACCTCCAGCAAGTATTCTGTTGTTCAGTAAGTATTTACAGGTCACAATAGGCATTTTGCCGCTTACATTTAAGATCTTCTCTAAGGAAGACCAACCCCCAACTTTAATTCATTCTTCCTTGCTTGGACTAGACATTCTTGCTCTTTTAAAAGAAAACTTCACTGTATCACAACTGACATTTCTAGAAATACTTGAGTTGGCAGAAAAGAATTGATCTGAATACTGAATTTCTTTTTGCTATTGAGTATTGTTGAAGTATCATATAAGAAAATAAAAAGAGTCCTGCTCCCATGAGTTAAATATAAGAAGTTACAAGATGCAAAGGAAAGAGGATGATTGGGTTTACCCGATTTGAAATTATATTTTGCAGCCTGTTGTTTAGTTTGGATGAAAGAGTGGGTGTTCCTGAGAAATAGAAGGCTTTTGGAGTTAGAAGGACACAATCTGAGATTTGGGTGGCATAGATATTTGTGGCATGACAAAGCTAAGGTTAATGTAGATTTTAAAAATCATTATGTCAAACGTGCCATATTGAGAATATGGAATAGATACAAAGCCAGGTTGTACCCAAAAACACCTTCGTGGCTCTCAGCACAAGAAGCATTTTATAGATGAGAAATGATAAGTAAACACAGATGGTTAACTTATCATGAGATATTAGAATCTTTTCAAGGGGAATGTGAAATAGAATCAAGGGAAGATCTGGTATCAGGGTGAATACTTGTCAATGGTTTTCTTATATATAATTATTAGAAAGGTTTAAAGTAGACAAAAGAATTTATGGTTTTAAACATTGTAAGACTGAGTTTGAAATAGGACTGTGTACAAATGTTGAATATGTAATTGTCAAAACGTATAAACTTTTATTGAAATTTGAAACAGAAGAACAAGTGAAAGAATGTATGATAAAATGGGCTAAAAATTTTGGTAAAGAAAGTAAATTAAACACAATGAGAGAGCCATTTTAAAATATCCCCAGTCCCCTGGGACCCCCAGGCCTGATGACAAAGCCAAATCTTGAGAGACTTAGGGAACATTAACAGGGATGGAGTTAACCTCACTTCAGGGAGGAGAATGTTCCGTAAGGCGAGCACCATAGCAGAGAAGACCAGCCTCCTGGAACCCGCCAAGTGTAAGTCCCTAGCGTATGGGACCTGAAGCATGCCCTCTCTGCCAGATCTAATGGGACAGAAATATTGTTATAATCTTAAAGATAATTTTTATAAAATTAGGTATTGTTCATATATGTCACCAGAGAAATTGTCTAGAATGTATAAAGATACCTCAAATCTATGTTGGAAATGTGAATAGCATGAAAGGACATTTTATCATGTTTGGTGGATATGTAAAAAAGCTAGAAAGTTTTGGATACAAATATATATACTAATTCAGAGGATCTTAAATATTAATGTACAATTGAAACTTTTCTTTTGGGATTGATGGACAAACAGCTGGAAAAAAGTAATGGAACTTTGTTTTTATACATGGTGACTGAAGCAAGTGGGCATCCCTGTCTTGTTCCTTTTTGTATCTCACAAGGCTTTGTTGGATTTCCATTAAAAATTAGTTGTGCTTTCTGTGAAGTGTAAATTGATCTTACCTATTTTATAAAGTTCTCTTCAAAGTTCATATCTTCCAAAACCTTCAAAACTTTGAACAAGAACGCCTAATTCAAATTGTCAAAGGTGTTTCTGCACCTAAGAAAATCATTGTGGCTTGTTTTTCATTATGTTGCTCCAAATATTCCAAAATGTCCAACATATTTCTAACATTGTCCTTTAGGTAAAAACCCACACTGATCCTCATGAATAAATTCTTGCAAAACTATTTTCAGTCTATCAACTAGAATTGTTGTAAACAACCTGTAGTCATTCAATAATGATATCAGCTTACAGTTTCTTTTTAAAGTCAAATCTTGTCCTTCTTTTGGTATTAGTACTATATTGGCCTCTTTCTAACTCTCTGGCATCTTTCCTCCCTGTAAGATAGAATTCATTGTATTTTGTAAAGGTGGTAAAAGTTCATCCTAAAAATATTTATAATAAAAATCGAATAACCCATCTGGTCCAGGCACCTTTCCTGGTTTAATCTTTTTTATAACTTCAGAAACTTCCCTTA